CCAGTATAGGTTTAAAGAGATGTGTGGGACCAGAGAGATGTTCAGAGATCCACTAAGATTCCCCCAACTAACAATCTAAGCAGGAGTGGAGATGCCCTTTGATGTCCTTCCCCGATAATAAGATTGATGATTCCCTCCTTTGTCATCCTACAGCCTTCATCAAGTAGCTGATCAAAGCAGAAGCAGACATCCACAGCTGAGCACTGAGCCATACTCCTGGAATCCAGTTGTAGATAGGGAGGAGGGATGAGCAAAGGAGACAAGACTGTACTGGAGAAACCCACACCAACAATTGACCTGACCTAGTGAGAGCACAGAGACTCCTAATGGGAACCAGCATTGGACCAAACCAAGCCCTCTGAATGTGGGTGCCATCTGGGAGACCTGTGCAGCCTATGGGCCTCGAACAGTGAAGCCAGTGTTTATCCCTAGAGCACAAATTGACTTTGGGAGCCCTATGGAGGGATACTAGTGCAGTCCAGATACAGGAAGGAAGGCCTAGGCCCTCCCCCAAATGATGTGATGGACTTTGAGAGCCCCCCCCCCCCCGTGGAGGGCCTCACTATCCTTGGGGAGTATCCTTAGGGGTGGTTTGGGGGTCAATTGCAGACATGTGAGGATTGGAGAGTGAGGGAATGTGGGATTGAAATGTAAAATAATATTATTTCTAAAATAAAAAAAAACTTCTTGGCACAAAAAAAACAAAGATTTCCCCACTGACTCTTAACAAACATTACCTGATGTTAAACCAGATAGCAAGTGACACTTGGTGGCATACTCATTTTATTCCAGCATTATGGATGCAGATATAGGTGGGTCTCCAGAAATTTGAGGGCATCATCGCATATAAAGGGAGTTCCAGAAGAGCCAGTGCTGTTATACAGAGAAACCCAGTCTTGAAAAACTAAAAAATAAACCCCACCAGATATTGATACAACCAAAAAGAAATCACTGACTGATAGAGTCATTTAAAAAAAAGTTCAATCCAGAGCAGCATGGCATACCCAAGACTGAGGAAGACAGGTCTCTGAGATTTCAAGACCAGCGTGGCCTACAATGGAAAGCAAGGGTTACAATGAGAAACCCAATGCAAAAAACAAAACATTATTTGTTTTCATTTTTAACTATTTCACAGTCACACACACACACACACACACACACACACACACACACACACACACAGACTCTGTGTGTTTGTGTGTTTGCACCTCAAATACTGTCTATTCTCATTCCCTACCTATCAACTACTATCCTGATGCACAATTCCAACTCATCTTTCCCTTGTGCTCGTCTCTATTGATTTTGCTTGGGATCCACTGAGATTGACCAGGGCTAGCGATGAGACTGTGGGTTTGGAGCTGTATGTTGGATCCTGCTGGGCTGAGCAGAGGACTGCAGCTAAAGGCAGTGATTCTCCTCCTACAAGCCATCCATAGACCACATTTGAGGGGTAAAGAGTGGACCCTGTGAGCCTTTGCCTTTCCTAGACTGACTGTGGTCTAGTGTGAGGTCGATGCAGGTCAGTACAGTTGCTGTTGGTTACTGATTACAACAGCTGTATGGAGTCTAGAGAATGGCATGTCTCAGCCCTTCCTTGTCTTTCCCTTCTTACTCCCTTTCCTCCTCCTCTTTCGCAATGGCCCCAGAGCCAAAGAAGGGATGCTGTAACTGACATTTTTAGGCCAGGAAATACATACTTATTTTCTGCATCTGGCACGGCAAGAATTTTTGCATTCGCCGCTTCTTTAAAAATAAAAATAACAAATTGTATGTTTCATCTCAAAAGACCTTCAGCGTGAATCGCAGAAGACAAACTTGTTTCTGGAATGGTAAACTGACAAGACCCCCATCTAGTGGTGACAGCGTGGGATGAGCTCCGCCCTGGGCAGTTAGCAATGGGCTGACCACTGACTTCTGCAGACACCGATTTCTTTTCAGAATCCAAGTTCCTGAAACGTCTCTCCCCCAAGTCACAGTGGCAGTGTTTGGTTTTGGCTTCTCATGTTTGTGTTGGCGATGAGATAGACGCCGGCATCTGAATTTAGCTTGTGATCGTTTGATGTAAGTTGTAGCCCAGGAGGCTGGTTGTCAAGGTTGGGCTGCCTGTCTTTTCTCTGGAGGTCTCAGCACTCACTGTGGGGTCAGACACCGGGGTGCAGCGTCCTCCTGGCTGCAGCTCTGGTCTAGGCTGCAGCAAGGGTGTGTGGAGTCTGCGCAGAGCGGGTCCAGGGCGGCCTGAGCTGTGTGCAAGGCGGCGGGAGATGCAGGGGGAAGAGCGGGTCAGTGGGGCGGGGACACTGGAGCGGAAATTGCAGATGGGGAGGGTGCTGGACTTTAGGTGAATGCACTGGGAGGAGGGGCAACTGGGAGGGGTTAAAGATGTGAT